ATTAACAATCCAAACTTTTCTGATTGGGTCCCATTTTCATATCCTCCTGAACAAAAGATTATAAAAACGCAGATACAGCTTCTTCCGCTTCATTTTCATACATATACATCGAATTTAACTACAGCGGTCATCTCAGCACGAGACGATTTCAATTTGAATTTTGAAATTATGAATTTTCCTCACTTAAGCAGTAATTTTCTAATTTACTTATGGAGTATACATTTCTCAACTCATATGATATTCAAGAGCTTGCAGGGGTTACCCAGACTTTGTAAAACGTCATTGGTGTCTGAGCAAAAAAATAATAATAGAGACAGGGTTTTGTCAAAGAATATCTCATTTTTTTTTCTCTCTGTCAAAAAGTTCATTGGAGAAAGTACCAAGACCTAATCATTGCTAATAGATAAATATTCATTGTCTATTTCACAAATAATACAGGATGGTCTTGAGTTATATATTATAAGTGCTGACTTTGTGTGTAATTATATTTACCTTACAATTTCCTTTTGTTTTTGTTTTTCTTTTATGTTCCGTTTGGTCTGATATATGAATCTGGCTCGATATTCGTGCATCCAGAGTTCGGTTTTATGACTGTGGGCGTTCCTGATGCGGGTATGTCCATAGGTACGATTCAGACACATGAGGTTTTCATATTATTGTTTTCATTTTGTATTCCCTTGTATTGATATTTTACTTAATTTGTACTTTATCGGGAAAGTGTATATGTCATTATAATTTACTATATGTATGTACTATCAACTACAAAACATTTTTTTGTTGGCGTCCTTGTCAAATTTAATTGTTTGAAAGTTTAAGTCAGTTGTTCCGTATGTCTGTGATGTACACTTACATAGTTTTGTCTAGGATTTTTTTGTATATTTGTTTGAAGTTTTAAGTGAGTTGTGTTTGAATGTCTGTGATGACTGTTTACACACATTTGGGTGCTGTTTCCCAGTAATTTTCACATTAATCAATTATGTCTATGATAGTTGCTCAACCAAATTAGTCAGAATAACGAACTATAAACAACTGTCTTACAAGTGGGAGGTTTAGTTAGCTATAAAGCCAGGTTTAACCCACGAGTTTCTTTGGAAAATACGTGTACCATGTTAGGAGCATGACAGTTACTTCTCATTCGTTCCATTAGTTGATATACCTGATCGTTTGTTTTTGTTAGGTTTTATGGACTTCTCCCTTTTTGAATTTCCTTGAACACGATGTGAGTTTGCTAATTTTGTTATTACTTTTGTTACTCAAATTTTGTGTGGTCATTATTTTGATGTGCCATTAAATATAAAAATAAGAAGATGTGGATTATCAATAAGTCACCATACGGCTTTCAACAATGAGCAAAACCCATACCGCATAGTAAGTCTATATATTTTTTGTTATCTTTATAAACAGAAGGAGTATTATTGTATTGTGTAAATTATCATGAATTGTGTAGTGTTTTTCTACCTTATTTAAATGTGTAAGAAATTATTTTTCTAATGTCATATATACTTTTTTCTAATATCATATATAAACTGCTGCTACCGATAAGAAAATTTCTTAGGGAGCCGTCAGAAATAAGTCAACTCGTTTTCTGTTTTTTTAAAGTAGGATGACATGCTCCCGAGTAAACGAATTTTCAACCATAAATTAATGGACTGCATGTGGTAAAATTAAACATTTTCTTAATACAAGTGGGGTCAAAATCGTCACTACCAATAGTTTTGTTAGATACTGTATTGTATCACAGATGGCGACGGTAATTTCCTTATCTGATATTAATTTTAATAAGAGTTTGTATTGACCAAAATTAAAGTTTCAGTGCTATCTCATAGTTTGTTTTGTGCATGTGTTATGTTTTTTTTATTCGGTAGGCTGTTGTATTATAAGGGATTTAAACATTAAAGTTTTGAAACCGTTAGTTTAAAAAATATCTTTCTACAGTCATGGACTCTCTTCCTCTCTTTGATGTACAATTTTTGGTAATGCCTTGCAAATTTATCGCAGAAAACTTTGCTCTCAAAATCTGTCACGTCTTGCAATAGCCATATAAGTAAAATAGAAAGAAAATCGTACTTTAGTTCCCTAACTAAAACTTTTAAATGACATAATAAATAAATATTTTTTTTTCAAATTCATTTATTAATAATCACATACTCAGGATTCTCTTTATCCTACAATAAAAAAGGAATATCGTTAACAAAATCATCAGCAATATCCACTTGTTAATGAAAAACGAATTAAATTAAATAATGAAAATTAAGATTTCCATGTGAAAGAAAGATGGTTATTATAAAATATATCTTCCCAAAGTTATATGTTAAAAAAAAAAGTAGTTCAGATGTTTGGCATACCATGAAACCAGGTTCAATCCACCATTTTTCTTAAAATGTCCTGTACCAAGTCAGGAATATGGCAGTTGTTATCAAATAGTTTGTTTCTATGTGTGGTGGCGTTTGTTTTTGTTGCATTTCGGTGTTCCTGTTGTTCCTTTGTTTTCTTCTTATAGTTGATGTGTTTCCCTCGGTTTTGGTTTGTAACCCGGATTTGTTTTCTGTCAATCGATTTATGACTTTTGAACACCGGTATACTACTGTGGCCTTTATTCAGGAATCCATAGCCCCCCTTTTTTTAACCAATTAAGCATGTTGTTTTAAATTTGTATATGTTTTTCTTATATTTTCTTGTTGGTCTAATCATTTGTTTAATAGTACACATCAACATAAGATTGATATAGATTGTAGACTAATTTCAGGAATTTTTAGCTCGTTTGTCAAATGGAACTGTTTTTGTTGCATCTTAATAATGAGATCAACATTGTTCAGCCATCTTTCATATAGAATTATAAAGTGTTGTTTGTGCCTTGTGTATAGCTGTAATCAATATAATGTATTGCATAACCTGTCCTTTGGTAAGAAATTTATAACTATATAACAATATGGAAAATGTATATATATATTGGTCGATTGATTGTTGGTTGCTTAACGTCCAGTTGTAAATATTTCATGCATGTTCAGTTCGAAAAACTTCATATATACAATGTCATGCTAATGTTTTACACGCTTCGTTTTTTAAGTGGCGTAGCAACTAAGAAAGGACTTGCAACAGTGTCAATCCGAAATAAAAAAAAAACATGTTGCTTTCTTTAAAAAACAAGAAAAGCAATACGTGAACCCGAGAAAGCTGTTTGTACACATGGTAGAGGTGGTATAGAGAAGTTGAAAGTCCAATTTTCATTTGGAATGTGACTCTGTGGCATGCAACATATAAGCACATTATGTATTTTGTTCTTGAGATTAACACATCAGCTTCATTAGGACCACTTATATACTGACAATTAATTTCGTTTTAAAAACATCTCGTTAAGTTACTTTAATCAATCTAAATGTTCTACAGGAAAAACTTAGTTTTGAAGAAAATCTTGATTTAGAAGTTTTATGAATACCTGAACATGCTCTGAAAAGAACCAATTTATATTCAAAGATATGTTTGGTAAAAGTAAATAAACTCATCATAGATACCAGTTTAAAATTTTGCAGGCCAGACGCGCCTTTCGTCTACAAATAGCTCATCCGTTGGGGTAGAAAATCCTTAGTAATTCGAAATTTTAAAGTTAAAAGACTGTCACTCAAAAAAAAAGAAAAAAACAAGCATTCTGAGAGTATTGCATGGCAATACATAGTCCCCTACCGGTTAAAAATTCATTGTACTAGAACAAAATGCTAACATGATCTATAACTTGTCCTGGTGTTTACTATATAACAAATATCAAGCCAATATCTTCAAGCATTAAGGAAAAAAATGTCGAAAACTGATGATTTGAGTGAATTTTCTAAGTCCATGGACCATAACTCTGCACAAAATCATCAGACCGAAACAAAATTCAAACTAGATCTGTAACTTGTCATGATAAAACTATATACCAATTATCAAATCAATATCTTCAAGCATGACGAAAAAAAGTGCTGAAAACTGATTATTTGAGTGAATTTTCTAAGTCCAAGGACCATAACTCTGCACAAAATCATCAGACCAAAACAAAATTCGAACTTGATCTGTAACTCGCCATTATATAACAATACACCAAATATCAAATCAATATCTTTAAGGACGAAGAAAAAAAGTGTAAAAATCTGATTTGCCGAACAGACAGACATACAGACAGACAGACAGACAGACATACAGACAGACGGAGTGCAAAACTAAAGTCCCCTTCGAATTTGTCGGTAGGGGACTAAAAGAGAAACAACTATAGGCCAAAATACCTTAATGATGACCATGCTTCAAAGTCACATGTCAAGCTCTTACTACTTTGATTTGAATTAAGATGAGAAATGCAAAAAATCACATTCCGCGAGTAAAAATAATATTTATTTATGCAAATGGTTTTCTTGCACAAGAAGTAGTAAATGGAAAGCATACGCAATGATATTCTGGATAAGCGTCATCACGTATATTTATTTTAGGCCCAAATCTAATGTCAGTTGAATTGGAATGTCAAACTGCCTAACATACAATTTCAAAATCGAATCACTTTGCAAAGATTAAGATACTATAAGGTTGAACTATTAAAAAAAAAATTAGTTAACATACATTCTTGATCAAATTAACCTCTTCTTCAAGGCAAATTTGCATTTTATGAATAAATTGCTATACAAAAATATAAACAGAGACTTATAAAACCATACTAAAACGGCATAAAATAATAAACGTAGTACTTTAATGGTTGTCGCAATATATTACTTAATTTTTTTGTGAGATGCAAGGACTTTAAATCTTTCTGAATTAAAACCATACAGCTATTTTTTACGTAATACCCTATCCATAAAGGGACCGTATCAAAAATATAGAAAACTACCTGTATAAATGATCGAACATTTTCGAGACGTTCCGAGAATCTTGTTTCCGATGATATCTGAATGGCCCAGAAAAGATACTAAAACTCACCAATATATAGGGTTCACGCAAAAATTAAATTCAGGTATTTACTTTGAGAACATAAAAACTTGCCTTCAATAAGTAATCGTTTACTTTTTATAATCAAAATCGCCTCCTGTCTTGACTACAATCTTTGTAGGAGCATATTCATCAGCGTAGTCTAAGTTAAAAAAAAAAAGTTAAAGTGAATGTTTAATGCATAAATTCAGAAACTACAGTATATTTAACAGATAACATATGACCACTATATGATGCTGAGATGATTTTGATCTAGTTCGGTTTCTATACTCAGTTTGGAAAAATAGATTAAGCCAAAAAAGCGCTTATTCCTGTAATACGGACGAAAATAAATCAGAACAACGAAATCCTAAAAACAAAATTATATAACGAAGATTACACCAATCACTTCAAAGTAAATAAAATTTAATACATATATAAAAAATAGAATTTACAATTAAACATGATAAAATGATAAGAAATATAAAATTAAGTTACAATAAAATGAATGTTCTTGTCAATTTAAAAAAAAATCTTTGTTTAATCTTTGTCTGATTAACAATGAACAACATATTTTTCGTAAAATCTATGTTGATAAATTATGAAATTATTAAAAAAAAAAAATTCACACTCCCTCAGGCACAGTTGACATTTGATCGATTTGACTATTTTTGTAGGTCCCTTTTGATCATACAGCTCTTTACTTGATTTGGTCTTATGCATCCTTGGCTTTAAATTTTTGGGTTTTAGCGTTCCTGATCAAGTTAAATCCAGAAAAACACTTCGGACACAAAAATTTTTTTTTTTTTCTTCTTCATTTGATATAAGTCAAAATCAAAGTAATTTACCTCCAGGGTAGTCTATAAAGAGGTGTTGTTTCCTCAAGTTGTCAAAACATATACTTCTACTATGATACTGAGACCAGCAATCACTCCAAAGACTGTAGAATCGTTTACTTTCACATTTCAGTTGGTAAGCTACAAATAAAAGTTTAATTTGAATCAGAATCAGCAACACAATATTAGCAAGAAAGAATCACAGATATCTTTTTTGTTCGGAGGGATGGTTTGGATAGCCTTTCAGATCAACTTGAGCTAAATGGTCTGACAAAGTAACTGTAGTTATATTAGAAGCGATATCATCACTTATTTTGAAAAAAATGTGAAAAAAAAATTTGTTGTAGCATGAAGAGCAGCTTTGACTTTTTGTTTTTTAAATGAATGAAGGTACCAAGGAGATTCTAAACCATCAAGTCGAGGAACACAGACGACACCATGAACCAAAGAAAAACATCTCATTTTATATTTCTTATTATTTTAGCTCAAATACAAAAAGACCATCAACAGTTAAATAGATACTACAAAGGTAATAAAGATAGAGCAACTGCAGTCTAGATTTCAAATATTTTTTTATAGGACAGGTTTCAAAGCGAACATATTCATGACTCCGATTCAAAAGTACAATACAGTCTGTGGAATAAAAATAAGAAGATAAGGAATGATTGCCAATGAGACAACTCTCCACCAGAGACCACATGACATAGAAGTTAAAAAACATAGGTCATCGTACGGCCTTCAACAACGAGTAATACCCATACTACAAAGTAAGCTATAAAAGGCCCCGAAATGACAATTGTAGAACAATTCAAACAAGAAAACTAACGGCCTAATTTAAGTACAAAAAATAAACGAAAATCAATTATGATATACAGCAACAAACGAAAATGACTTTAATTAGACATGCTGGAGTCAAGAGTTCTTTGAAGCAAAATCAAATCAAATGTTTTGGATCATTAGAACCAATAAGACTGGTTGATTTTGGTATACTTAATAAAAAGAAAACCATAATAGCTTAAACAAATAGCGATGATCCGTTTACCAATTGTTTTTTACAGTTATCTAAGATTTGAACTGAAATTTAAAATCCAAAATGTATCATTTAAATTACGCTTTCTGCTATTATCCGTGATAAAAATAATCGGAAGACAGGAAAGGGGCATTTCAAATGTTAAGGTCGACATAGAACTGATAGTACCATGTAAAAAAAAACCCGAAAAAATGACGACAGGACAAACAACTATCTTCAAGATACTACATAGCAAACATACATCATTTAATACAATATAATATAAAAATTAGAAGATGTGGTATGATTGCCAATGAGACATTTATCCATATAACCCTTTTCAAGCGATTTTCGGAAAATGCATGGATTTGTTTTCCTTTATAAAAGATTTTTTATAATTCAAAACAGCGTCCGTCTATATTCGATGTCATCGTTGTTAAAATAATGGCGTGTTCCAAAATCGCAAATATTACTATGGATGATGATTTTGCAAGGATGTCAGTCTTTTCGTCTGTTGACAACTTACATATTTCACTAACTTGAAATTTTTTCTTAAAGGAGTTCATATTGCGAATTTTATCCAACGACCTTTGTCATTTTATCGTTTATTCTTCTTTCTCTTTCAACTGTAACATGTGATGTAGATGTATAAATAAAGAACTACATGTAAGCATCATGTGACTACTTACTCAGGGGTCATAAACTACGTTATTCAGTCTTAATCAAGCCTTTCATGGTTTTAAACTAACGTTTCCTAAGTCAGGAATCTGATGTTCAGTAGTTGTCGTTTGTTGATGTGGTTCATAAGTGTTTCTCGTTTCTCGTTTTTTATATAGATTAGATCGATGGTTTTCCCGTTTGAATGGTTTTACACTAGTAATTTTGGGGGCCCTTTATAGCTTACTGTTCGGTGTGAGCCAAGGCTCCCTGTTGAAGACCGTACTGTGACCTATAATGGTTTACTTTTATAAATTTTGACTTGGATGGAGAGTTGTCTCATTGGCACTGATACCACATCTTCTTATATCTAATTAATCGTATACTTGCTTACCTTTTCCGGCATATGAAAATCTGTGTTCGGCTATTGGGAATCCATGATATGTGTTGTGGTAATCGAGGTAGCTAACAACGTGTCCATGGCCATAACCATAACCAACTTCGCTATGAAGTTTACTTATATGATATTCATGTTTGTTATGGAGGTGCTCCTCGTTTGAAAGGTGTCGTTTATTTTGATACTCGCGTTCTCTCAAATGTCTTTTATGTTGATTTTCAACAGCAGACAGATGATGTTTTGCGTGATTGTGGAGTCTGTTTATATGGTATTTTACGAGTTTTCTGAACCTGTTGATATGTCGGTTAGCCTCGTTTGAAATTCTGCTGACGTGTTTTTTCGCCTGGTAGCCAATGTTTTGCACATGTTTGTTAGATAGGTATGATATTTTGGAAACATGGCTGTTAGCTGCATGGTGGATGCGTTTAACATGGTGTTTGGCCATCTTCAGGTGGAGAAATAAATTATGACGGTACAGCCAATCATGCGTGTGTCCATGATGATGAGCGTGATGTATGTGTCCATAAGCACCTGAGGAAATAAAATAGGAAAAATTAAAAAGCTGCTGTTATTTCCTAAATGACAAGTTAAGTTTTTGTTGTAAGGCGGAAAGACTATGCAAGTTCGAAATGTATCTTATGGTATAAACGCTTTAAAACCTAGTAATACAAAGTCTGGGCATTTAATGTCGGATATTAAAAGTATTCGCAAATGAAACAGCCACCAAACTACCCACTAAATACGTTTAGAGGTTACACAGTTTGTCAAGGTCTTAATAATTTCGGGTCTAGGTGATTTGTGAATTTATACAAAAACTGTCAAACACATTTAATTTCTATTGGATAAATGATAAAGTAATAATTGAAGACGATTAATTACGATGTTTCTGACGTGGAAAAAGTAAAATAACAAAAATACCGAAATTTAAAGAAAATTCAAAACGGAAAGTCCCTTTTAAATGGCAAAATCAAAAGCTCAAGCACAACAAACGAATGGAAAACAACTAATATAATGTCAACATTGTGTTATAAGCTTAACAACTTTGTCATCAAAGAAAAACAAAATGGCACGTAGAAACTCTATAGACAAAGCACATAAGCAAAAATGAAAGAACAGACCGATGCACACACTGCAGTGTTAAACAAGTATTTTGAGCACTCAACCCTTCCTAATTATAATCCCAATAACTACAATAACTAATCTACAAACTTATTACAAAACCCTGCTGAGAAAAAAAAAAACAAAAAAAAACACTTAATTGTTTGATTCCTGTTAAAATAAACAATAGGAAAGATAAAGTTAGGAAAATCATAATAAATCATACCCTATCAAATAATGCTTGCAGTTACTTAAAATTAATTAAAAGTTCATAACATGCTGATATTGATGTTATGCAGTCCTACACTATAATATCGACAGGTTCACTTCTGAGAAGATTTCTTAATCAATGTCATCAGCTGCGTAGGACGACACTAACTTGTATCAAGCCCCCCAAAAAATGCTGTGCCTTAGTTCAATTATGAAACTATATCCTTGTATAAATAAGTAAAATGATACACAAAAATACCTGACGCGATGAGTTAACAACTGAAAATTAAAATCGTATTATCTTATCATATATCATCATATCGTTTTATGTCAATTTGGAATAAAGATGAGTAAAAGTTTTATTCAGTTCATTATATCTGTATCCTAGTTATAATCAAAATTTTAAATTGAAAATGTTACGTTCGTTCAGAGATATTACTATAATCACTTTCATAACAATTGAAAAGAAAAATGCAGAAGAAGGACCAAACGAGATTAATGAAAAAAAAATTAGCGTTAAGAATTGAAATGACGTCAAGGTTAGAATATTTCTAGTATAAATATTATAATGAGAAATTCGAAAATCAAGTTCTTAAAAATGACAAAGATCATTGGTTTCGTAAAAACTAAGTAAGAATAATTTCGGGCGGAATAAAACTTATCGTAAAACTTATCGGTGTGATTAAAAAAAATGAATCATTTACAAGTATAATGTCGTCCAAATATTGTTGTTTTTTCCCTTTACTATATCATGTTTAGCCATAAATTGTAGTGAATCTTTTTATTAATAAAACCCCTGTTTCATATTCAGTAAAAGGACAAGATTTTGAAGAGATGATGTGTTATTGTCGCATACAAGTTGGGAAATCGTAACTGTGTCACGGTGAAAAAACTAACTATCAAAAGAAGTTAACTTACATAAGACTTAAATGGATTTTTTAACACTCGGAAACATACCGCTGTGAACAAAAGCTTTACAACAAATGAAAGTTCTAAAACGGTTGTGAGATTACTGGCAAGAATAACAGAAATTTAAGCAGTTAAGGATGTTTGGTCCTGTTGTATTCGGATTTTTGTCAGATATTCGGATTCCTCTGATTTCATCTATGTAGTAAAATTAAGAAAGTTTGCCCCCTCACCTCTACGTTTCTTTCCATAATTTTATAACATATAGTTCAAAAGGGCACATTTGAAAATCTTATAAAATCCTTGTTTTTTTTTCTTAGTTTTTGAAAGAAAAAAGGTGTCAACGCTTAGTGTATGAAAAATATAGAGAGAATCATTTCCCGCCAAATTTTCAATGGCTTATTTCTCGAAAACAAGGACACGGACCTATCATTTTTTTCTGATACCATACTTACTTGATGAAATTGGTATGGTATTATATTTATTTCAGGAAGTAACATTATATGGTTGCCATTTTGTTTAGTTTAATACATGTAGCAGCTTTCATTTAAGTAGTTTTTAAAATGAAACATACACACTTTTTTGTTAGGAAAGTTGGTAGGCATTCACTTATTTTGATTTTAATCTCAGTTTTTAGTATCGCGAAAGTATTTAAGTTAAACACTGGCAACTTTATTAACTGATAAAAACACAAAACACTTTCAAAAATTATTTTTGGTTAATTTGGAACCAGTAAATAACAAAATTTAATGATCTTTGACAATATAAGTTCGAACTAATTGAAAATTGTTACCTCCATGATAAGATACGAAGAGATGCTGTTTCCTCAAATGTCCAAAGCAATAACTTCTACTGTGATAATGAGTATAACAAGTATTCCACAGACTGTAGAATCGATTTCTATGACATGCCAGCTTATATGCTGTAAAAAATATCAATATCATTGTACTGTTGAATCTAAAAGTAATTGATGTTCCTATGATCGGAAAAAGTCACATTCTATAGCTTCAATGGGAAAGAATCATTATCAAAATCGACTATGCTAAATAAAGAATTCAGAACAATCTCTGAAACCGTGAATAGTTAAACCAGATATTGGTTATACGAAAATACACAGTTGCTCGTCTCAGTTGAAATGGGGGTAAATTAAAGGAAACTATCATTTGCAATCTCCAAACGTAAATGTAAAATTACATCTTTTATTTTAATGAGAACTTTTATATGAATACTAGTAGTATTTGTTTTTATTTATTGAAATCAAATTTTCTGCAAAACGTAATAAATACCTTTGCCTCCATAGGAAAATCGGTGATGATGGATTCTAAATCCATGATATTTTTTGTAATAACTATAGTAAGCAGCTCTATGTATATGTCCGTGACTAAAACCGTGACCATGTCCATGACCATGTCCGTGAATATAAACGTGACTATGTCCGTGACTATAACCGTGACCATGTCCATGACCATGTCCGTGAATATAAACGTGACCATGTCCATGACTATAACCGTGACCATGTCCATAACCATGTCCGTGACCCTTGTAGTAGTGACCGGTGCTACCATGAGAATAGCCTAATAATCAGTAAAAATGATATTATGAAAAGTTTGTAATATGATTTATTCATTTTATTTTCCAGGAGAAAAAACGAAACTTCGCCTTTTCAAAGACCGCCTGTAAATTGATATATCGCTTAAGTATTTATTTTTAAACAATGCTTGGTGATGCAATTTGTTGTGTAGCCTAAGTCGAATTGAACTTCATAAAACTATTAAAACAAAGTGTATAAATGGAATAACTCTTTTTTAACAGGTAATTTTTTTATTGAAAAACCTGTAACATGTCGCACCGTAATAAACCATGATAGAATTGTATTTCTGCTATAAGGTTAGTTGATTAAATCCATGGTCATCTTTGACACATATATTCCAATACAGTTAACCAAGTTATAATGGTGTACGTAAATATACATATGATTTGGATTAATTCTGCATAGGTTACATCATGTGACATAATAGAGATAAATGAAGTGTGCTAGTTTGTGCATATAGCCATTATGTAATAAAACTGTGATTAATTTTCTTTAAATGAAATATTCATGATACGTGTGATATGATATGCATAATTTTGAAACTGTTGGATTTTCTAACACAAATCGACGCCTAACTAAGTTAAAATCTAATTATGTTAAAAAAAATATAAATAAACTTTAACTTTATATTTGCTGTTAATTCAGTTCCTTCTGTTTTACCATGATTTTATATTCTTCGAGATTATAGTCTTATAAGATAAACCTACTGGACTCATTATTTGTTCGGTATAACATGTGTGTTAAATTATAATTACCTTTGTAAACCGCAAAAAGATGTTGTTTTCTGAATCTCCCAAAGCATCTACCTCTGCTATGGTATCTTCCATAACAACTCCTCCATAGCCGGTAAAACCGTGTCTTACCACAAGTCAATTTGTATCCTTAAATGATATTTTTTATATGTATTCACAAGTTTTGTTTTTTATTAAAAGTTATTGCGAAACATCAGTTAAACGACTAGTTACTAGTTATATAAATCAGTTGAAAAACTTAATCTTTATAGATTGCTATTGTACCGGTCATGGACTATTCCTAAATTCAGTAGTAATCTTAAAATACCATCGCTAGAAAAAATGCAGTCCAGTCCGTATTATAGTTATTATTACTTCTTACTAAATTAGTTCATGCTTATGACACGACACTATAATATTCCCCGCCTGGTCATAATGTCATTGCATTTGTATAACTTATTTGAGGTTTAGGCTGTTATTATAAGTATTCCCAGAAAAAGCGCTTCGGATGCATGAAATTTAGAACATATTGTTTTCGTTTTTTTGGGGTACTTTTCCCAAAACAAAATTGAATATGAAAATGATGCAAATTATTACTGTGAATGAAAATAAGACTTTATACATTTCCAGCATTTGAAGCCTCTTTCTGGATTATCCTTCATTCAGGAACGCTGAAACCAAAATACTTGACAGCCAGAGACGCATACATACGATGAAACCGAAGTAGCTATATGTTTAAATAGGACCTTAACAAGATAGCAAAATTCAAAGGTAAACTTTGCCTAACCTTTGTTTTCTTAAAAACATATTCGTGGTCATTTGTGACACAGATATACATAAGAGGTCAACCAAATCAGATGACCCCAAAGACTTCTTAAATGTTTTATATCGTGATTTAAAGATTATGTCTTTATTTATATGAAAGGATTACATTCAGCATGCTAACATTTTTTGTTCAGTTTTATTGGATTTACATTGAAAATGTTGACATTATTATCTAAGTATCCTTATTTTTAAAGTAATATTTCAAGATTGAGTCTGCTTTTTCTTTTGTGCGATTTTTTTTTATTTATTCTCTGAAAAGACAGCAACGACTATAGTTGATAAAAAGATCCATATACATATATAGAGAATATCATATGGCTTTTTCAATATCACATCCGTATCAACCCGAGACAACAATATAATCCCAAAGGCTCATAAAAATTAAATAATTCGAAAGTTATATTCAAGCGATATCCAATTTTCACTCGTATTGAAACCTATAATCAACTACGCCTACTGGCCGTGAATTTACAATAAATACGCACGCTGATCTAATATTAAATATACACTGTTCCCATGTGATCGCTTTTAACCAATGTTTTTCCTATAAGCGTACATGAGGTAAGATAAATCACCATACACGGGCACATCATACTTACTACAAACCAATCAGAATTCGCTTTCATACCTGAATGCCGCTTACGTTGCAACTCATCAAAGATACCTGGCTTGTAATTTTGAACGTCAAACGCGCGTTTTATCTCCATGATATAAAAATTAGGAGATGTGGTATGATTGCCAATAAGTCAACTCTCCACCAAAGATCAAATGAAGTGGATGAAAGCAATTATAGGCAACCATACGGCCTTCATCAATGAGAAAAACCCATACAGTATAGTCGGCTATAAAAGGCCCGGACATGAAAAATATGAAAAAAAAAATCAATTGAGGAAGCTAACGGCCTAATTTATGGGTCGTTTTCAAAATCCGTCCATATTTTAGATAGAAATTGAGAAAAATATTTTCATCAATTTAAATCAATTTTAAATATTCTAATGAACTCTTAGTAATTTATATGAGCAAAATCTAAAATATGCAGTCTTAATGAAACTGGGAAGATAATTTTAAATGCAAAATGAGATAACAAAAATTACGGAATTTGTCAACTACATAACGAAAGCAATTATGTTGATATCTCAATGTTTGGTACTAATAAATGATTACCTTTTCCCAAAACATGTTAAATATTGTAATATAGATTTACTTTCTTTCTAATTACTTCAGTTATTACAGTGTTCAACGTACGATTTTGACTTTTCTTTTTTGTCACCTACATAACGATATTGTCAACTACATAACAAAAATGTCCACTACATAACAAAATTATGTCAATTGTTACGTATAGTTGACCGTTATGTAGTGGACGTATTCAAACTTTGTGGCATCTTTCAATACCACGGATACTTCGACATCATAAAAACTGTGCTTTTTTCTATAAAACACAGAACATTGATTATAATGATATAGATATGGACGTGATGTTCCATTGTTATCTTGATAAAAAAAAATCCCGTTACCAAGTGGACAGGTTAAAAAATACGGGGCTACCTCTTCTTACTTAAATGCCAAAAAATGTTGATACTATTTACAGAGTTATCTTTTTTATGCTTCCATTATCATAATGACATACAGAGCTATAGCTGAGACACTTTCAAGATAAAAATGGAGTGTCAGAAGTTATATTATAGCAAGCAAAAACGTTTTTGTTATGTAGTTGACAAAATATCAAGTACACTATAAAACACTAAGATAAATCTGAAACCAAAACCAACTATTATTCAATGGCTTTAAAATATCAATCTACAGTGTATTTTCTACCTTAAAACAGAAAATTGTAAGATTTGTGTAATTGTAAAGATGTCTAGTTTGATACGATATTTGGTATTTTGAAGTTGGGTCATGCAGTTTGGGGTCATTTTAGAGCTTTGAGCACGATTTCCAAGAAAATCCACTGACCTATTCCTTATTTTTCTTCTGCAAGTAGTAGAACTTACGTTGCACTATGCAAGACACCAACATTCAAATGATGATAAAGTCGTATTTTCCTCACAGGTCAGCCGTACAAGAATATGGACAAATTTATAACAAAATAATCTACGAAAAACAAATATGACAGACATGAACCAACGACAACCACTGAAATACAGGCTCTTGACTTTGGACAGGTACATTTAAGACTTGTCAGTGACGTTTGAATCAAAATATTTAAAAGGCCAATTAAAATACAAACTTGGAGAGCATTAAAAACACAAAATCCGCTCCCCCCCCAAAAAAAAAAAAACAACAAAAGTGCCCGATAAGGGTTAGGCAATTTATTACTCCGGGTAGAAAAAACTTGAGTTTTTCAAATAATTCAATATTTTATATAGACAGCAACTGTACAAAAAAAAAATAATGCTACCATTAGACCATTTTCGGAAATAAAAAAATGAAAAAAAAGAAAGATAAATATTGATTCTTAAGTATTAAGTTTCAGTATTGAAGAGATAGCAAAAATTTTAAAAATGTGTGCCAAAGGAGATGTTGCGAAAGGCGTCAATGAGTCGTCAGCCCTATAATGATTGACGGCCATGTGTTTGAAAATAGAAAATATTACCTAATCCTTTGTAAGCAAATCTTCCATGTGTGATTTTAAATCCGTGGTATCTTTTGTAGTATGCCAATCCGTGATGTCCGTAGTGTCCACTATGCACAATGTGTTTTCTGTATAGTCCTATTTATAAAATAAATTAAACAATAACAATATTTGACATACATTACAGACTGCATCTTGTATTATAGTTTGAAAAAATATAGCAATGAAATAATATCTACGGACAAAGCTTGACAGATAGACTGTAAAATATTTTGATGTATGCACATTTAACTATGAACTTTATATGTAAAATAGTGAGAAACCTATACATATGTTTATACTTACTAAGATGAACATGATGATGACTTCCATAGGTGTTATATCCGGATGTAGCAACTGTTGAAAAAGATCAGACAGTTATATAAATACAATGGTTTTATAGTTAGATACGTATGCCTGGGAGAACATGATTTAATTATTAGTTGTAATTGGCTTAGAACTAGCTTCCATAACAGCGAGTAGCCTTATTTCGGTGCTTTTTGTCTATTGTTTTATGTTAGTTGTTTTTGTGCCTCTTTTGAGTTAAGCCAATTGCAACTGATTTGTACAGTTTGTTCTTATGTTGTTCTGTTACACCATTGTCCCAGGTTTGGGGAGGGTTGAGCGCTCACAAACATGTTTAACCCCGTCACATTATTTTTGTGTCTCTTCTATGTCAGGAACCTGTATTTCAGTAATTGTCGTTGGTTCATGTCTGTCATATTTGTTTTTCTTAAATTGTTTTGTTATAAATTAGGCCGTTAGTTTTCTCGTCTGAATTGTTTCAAATTTTTTATGTCGGAACCTTTTATAGCTGTCTATACGGTATGGGTTTTTCTCATTGTTGAAGACCATAGGGCTGTCTATATTTGCTAACATCCACTTCAAATGAACTCTGGTGGAAAGTTGTCTCATTGGAAATCATACCACATCTCCTAGTTTTTATATTTATATAAACTCATCATAGATACCAGGTTTTAAATTGTGTATGCCAGACACTCATCTACAAAAGACTCGTCAGTGTGAGTTAAAAAGGCCTTATGTTTGTATTATAACTTTATTTTCAGCTGATTGAGACCAATACCTTTAACATACACAGCCTAAGTTTTCCATAGGCCAGACATTTTCCATTCATTCATTGAAAAAGAAGAACAATACAAGTAGTATAGAAACTTATAAAATATTAACGCATGACGTTATTGGCGGAAGGAAATTTAAAGAAACTATATCCTTGAAAAGAGCATAGACATTATGCAACGTATGCTCAAACATTTCACGACCAAGAAAATCTATTGCATTTGAAAATATTCTGAATGAGCGTTTAATATGGGATATGAAAAGATCAAACACAAACATTATTTTGAAAAAAATTACAAAATGTTGCAATTTTTTTTCTAACAATTTTGAGACATAAAAGCCTTACCTGCGGCAACGGCCACGAGCACCAGTACACATATACCGTACGACATGTTAAAGGGTATGTGGTAACGACTCTTCGGTTCTACTTATATAGTAAATGTACAAGACCATATGTTACCATGAAGTTCCTGTAAGTTACTGTTGTGCAGTTTTGCTATCTACTCTTACATAATAAAAACATGTAATCAATAGTATATACTTTCTTATCATGGGACAAGAACATTAATTTTTTTCACTTCATTAACGATGAAAAATACATATATACTTAATTTATTGCATAAAGGTACATTTCCTGGATTAAGTATGCTGATGACTATACTTTACATTTTTATTGACAATGTATACTTGAAATCTTTGACATTGTCTGTCAGATATTACAAAGGTTGAAAATCCAATTATATATCGTCGGATTAGCATTACAATAGTATGCAATTGACACAGAACTTACATTTGCAAACAAAGTCGAGTAAAAGATAGGCGAAAGATATCAAAAGGATATCCAAACTCGAAAAAGTAAAAAACAAACTGACAATGCCATGGCAAAAAATGAATAATAACGAAAAGACAAACAGTTTAACCCCGCCACATTCTATATGGGTCTGTCCCAGGTCAGGAGCCTGTAGTTCAGTCATTGTCGTTGGTTCATATCTGTCATATTTGTTTTCCGTAAATTGTTTTGTTATAAATTAGGCCGTCAGTTTTCTCAATTGAAATGTTTCATATTTTTCATGTCTTGGACTTTTATAGCCGACTTTACGGTATGGGTTTTCTCATTGTTGAAGGCCGTCCGGTTGCCTATAATTGCTTTCATCAACTGCATTTGAATTTTGGTTGATAGTTGTCTCATTGGCAATCATACCACATCCCTATTTTTATAATTGAACACAAAACAAAACATAGAAAATTGTGCAACACTATCCCCACCAAAAACCGGGGTGATCTCAGGTGCTCCGGAAGGGTAAGCAGATCCTGCTCCACATGTGGTACCGTCGTGTAAAGAAGGTGAATAGGATCAGGGCACTGCCTTCGATAATGAGCAAAGACAAACACGATATGTAACAATGTTATAAGTCGGATCATTTCCGTTTATTTGGAATTGGTTTTGTGCATGCTATGCACAAACCCCTTCAACAATGATCAGACTCCATACCGCACAGTAAGTTATAAAAGGCCGCGGCATGATAAAGTGTTCAAAAAATCCAGAGAGAAAACCAACGATCAAAGATGCTAAAATACAAGGCATAATTGTGAATTAGATGGCGGATCAATATGTTTACATGATTTTTTTTCTAAATTTTCCGGCCCTATATACAAGATAAACGTAAACAATTAAAAAGTGATATCCTATTTGTAATTAGGATATTATCGATAGGTTTTTTTCGCGTGATATAACATGCGATCAGATCAATTTACTGCTATTTCGGGTATATGATAGTTTTATTCATGATTGTTCGTCTTATTCTGAGTACTAATAAAATAAAATTGAGAATGGAAATGGGGAATGCGTCAAAGAGACAACAACCCGACCAAAGAGCATAAAACAGCCCAAGACCACAAGTGGGTCTTCAACAAACATGTTAATACAAACGACCCACAATTGCCTTTTAGTTCACTAACAATTCAATGTTATACATTGTCCGTGTTTTTTCGAGAGCAACATTTAAAACATCTGGGTTTTTAAACAAATGGTCCGGGTTTTTCAAAGAAAATGCGAATAAGAAAGAAGGTATTCTTGGGCTTAAAAAGTAACTTTTTCTAGTTTGTAACTGTAAACTAGCAATATTATATATTTCTAATAACTAACAAATGAAAACATATCATTATGTTAATCAAATTTAACCCTTTTAACTTAATGATAATTTTCTGTTCTGAAATAATTTTACCACAACCTTGCAGTATTAAGATATATTAGAAATTACTGGATTCTCTGTAAAACTGTCTTTAGAAGCGAGAAGAGGGATCTCATAATCTTTTCAATATAATTTCATGCTATATACTTTACAGTAAATAATAGTTTATGATTTATATACATTACAGTGGCAAAACCTGGAGTATTAAAAAGAGAAAACAAAGGGACAGAAGTTATAAATTCAGAAAAATGCAATATACCACAAATATTCCACCAAGAGAGGCCTGGTACCAGTCATTACATCCTGCGTCCATCAAATACGGCGGGCTGTCGGCAAATTGATATTTGCGTTTGTGTTGTTTTCTTTATAGGCATATGAAGTATAGATAATACTAATATTTTTTACTATACGAATATTTACTGTATGATATCCATATTTGGTTGAATCGACATCGATATACGTATGTTTGGATCGATGTGTACCTGGGCGATGACTTGTTGGATAGTGGATAATGGGCGTGGACATGTCCGATTTATCCAAATAAACCAATGCCGGTGTCCATGCAATTTATAAGATGTGGCAAACAATAATATATATAAATATACGATGCTTTTTACGAATGTACGTGTTACGTACTACATACAGTATTATCAAACTGGTTAAATGCATTGGTTTCGTGCTTTGAAAAGTACTTTATTTGAACCTATTCATTATTTTTAAACGTAATCGCACTGGCATATAACATTTTAGGCCATTGAAACTTTGTGTAATCACTCGATCAAAACCTGGACCGCACTAAAAAAACCCGGACTGCTCTCGAAAAAACACGAATATGTAAAAATGAATTCATTCTAGAAATGTCCTTCTCAATGCAATACAAGAATTTTTGTAAAGTGTCTGTATATCTAAGGATATACAGATTCCAAATATACATTTCCTTTGACATTTGCATTGGTACTTGTATGAAAATAGCTTTGTTTCATATTTTGGAATAAAAGCATTGTAAAGCTAAATTAAACTTTTAGAACACATAATAATGTAGGGGTGAGGATTTCTTTTTATTACCAATACTAACTTACCTTGTATGATCTTGTAAGCATCTTTTTCGCGTCTTACAAAAAAAAAGTATGTGTGTTTACATTTCTGGTCATATTCAAACGAAAAAACGTGGTCAAACTCGAAAAAAACCAATCAAATCACTTAAAAACACGATAAAAGCCGGACACTATACCTACTGTGAATCCAGAATAAACAAAATACTCATTTGTCATACATTTTCATGTAGAGTTTCAATATGAAACCGAATATTCAAACCTAAAACAGTACTCTTATTGCTGTTTGTATTTTCTTAATTTAGAGTCGTTTCCTTTTGTTAACTTGCCCATTATAATAAGAAATTTCTTCATAATTAAAACAAAAATCTTATCATTGTAACGATTAATGTTATTTAACTTTTCAATTCAGGCAACGTATACGTAATTGGCCAATATTTGAGATTTCAATGAAATTCTGTATGCGTTGAGCACTATCTCAATATAAAAATGAATACAAATAAAATAAAATTGAGAATGGAAATGGGGAATGTGTCAAAGAGACAACAACCCGACCAAAGAGCAGAAAACAGCCAAAGGCAACCAATGGGTCTTCAATACATGTTATGTCCATTTATCTTACCTCCTATACATTTCCAGGGATATCATTGGTTAAAAGCTACCGCGTGGAGACCGTGTATATTTCATATGGGGTTAGTAGGCGTGACTTAATTTAATACAAGGTCAGTAGTGGTGTTACGTTCCTTTATAAAAGCAACACGGCGTTGAGGAAAAATCCGAAATGTTTTAACAAACGAAGAAATTGATGATGAACGATTGAAATAAATGCAGAAAGCACATTAAAAGCTAACAAGTTTTGTATAGACCATTGCTAGTAAGTTCTTTATATTGACTAACTTGATTACTTTGATAGGCCAGTAGTCTAAATGCCACATGTTAGGATAGTCGGTAAGATAAGTTCGTTACACAGTTTGCTAGTGACCTAATACGACATATACGGGGTCAATTAATTTCATATGGGGTTCGAGCTTCGCTCTCACCCCATATGGAATTTACTGACCCCATGTATATCGTACTAGATCACTACCACACTTTGTAACTAATATTATACATCCATCAATATAGCATACAATTTTGTGAACGGATTTTTTTAAGAAATGCAATATAATTGTAAAAATGGATATTTTTCGCCGCTTGTCACGTACATTCTATACATTTAATGACCTCAAGGAATGCAAACTATCTGTTGAAAAATACACCAATCAAACGTAAATATTGAATTTTCATCAATTTCCTCAGCCTCAAGACATGGTATTTTATTTAATATAAATATGTTAGTAGCATCCCAATCAGTAAACAAGAGTACTTTGTTGACTTTTAATACATTACTTGTATCTTGCTAACATATTTCGCCATAAAAATTAGCGCTGACCTCCTTAAATAAGTTTATTATTCTAGAATTAAATAATCGTGCACAATATGCCTGCTAAAAGGGAATACGTAAAAGGGATATAACTGCAAAATTAGCATATCCTACTCTACTAATGGTGCCTGTTATGTTCCTGATAGCAAGTGAATATCTGATGATAAGTAATAATCAGTGATGTTAAAAACAAAGAAAAGTGGACGGGATTGTGGCTACGCCAAATTTAATGTACTCTTGTGAACTTGTCATATGTTTTTATAGATATAAGAATATGTGGTATGAGTGCCAATGAGACAACTCCCCATCCAAGTCAAAATTTATAAAAGTAAACCAATAAAGGTCAAAGTACGGTCTTCAACACGGAGCTTTGGCTCACACCGAACAGCAAGCTATAAATATGTTTGACAGCGGTCATCAAACATATGATTGCGTCTGTAAAACTTTTGAAGAAATAACTTTAGCTATACAAGTAAATGAAGTCTGCCATATACCAATTAAGGAACAAGTAGGCTAGAATAAGAATAGAGGCACACGTTGTTTGGGTTGCAATGCGACTGTCTGTCCTATTGAGTCATCAATGCTCATCAACTTCGTTCTCTATTTGACCTTTTACACTTTTTTATTCGAGCGTCACTGATGAGTCTTTTGAAGACAAAACGCGCGTCTGTCGTACACAATTTTATTTCTTGTATCTATGATGAGTTTATTCTAAATGCGTTCATAAAACGTATCGGATA